ATATCAATAAAGTAATATACTGATAAAATGGAAACTATTCTAAAAAACTAGATACAAAACTTTTCAAGTGCTAGAATCACTGAAAATAAATTTGCTGATTATGTACTATTTTCATTATCTGCAACTATGAATAAATCAACTAAATTTGAAGATGATAATCATTATATATTTAGAGAGGCTAAATATAGAAAATAACAACAAATGAATTTCAAATTTGATTAAAGAAATGGTTCTTACTATACATAATTCAAAGCATAAATGTAATCAACCAAGGTCTCAAAAAAACGAACTTTATTATAAATTGAAAAATCAGAACTTTAAATTTAATTTAATGAAAAAGGATAAAATGTTTAAGTATTCAAAGCTTTTGATTAAAAAAATAATGTTTATGTAGTACTGAAGATTCCAAGGTTTATCATAAAAAATTTAAATAGTGAATAACCAATTGCAGAAGAATTGTAAGCTAGGGCCAAAGATTATGCTAAAACAAGGTATTTATAATAACTTATTGCCAAATAATTATCTCATTATTTTAATTAATAATGCTACTAAAATAAAGGAAATTTTTTTCCCATTTATTACGCGACTCCTTATTTATATAAATTTGATATCCCATTTTTTGGAACAAAAATAATTTATGGAGAAAGCTATATAGATTTGGAAATTCCTTGGTAGAAATATAGTAACAATGGTTCATTTTATCTTGAATAATATAATTTTACTACTTTCTCGCATTTCACTTATGTAAAAACTAATAAAAATATGATTATTACAGATCTATAAGGTAAATAAAATCTATTTAGTGATCCATCTATTCATTCTAAAGATATAGAGGATGAAGGAAATTGTAGAGAAGAAGGATATATGAATTTTTTCAAATTTCAGCATGCTTAATGCACTACTTTATGCTAGAAGCTTAATTTGCCTATCGATCAAATACAAAAAAATGAATAATCTCAAACTAAACTAAAGCCTATAATTGATGAATTTGGAGGCTATATGGACAAAAGCAACCTTTATAAAATATGTTAAAATTGCAATGCTTAAGAAAAATTGGATAGCATAGAAAATTATAAAGAAACCTGTAAAGAGTGTTTAGAAAAACAATTATACTAAGAAGAATTTTAATGTGAATGTTGTAAAGTAACATTTAAACGATCATCAAATTATGAATAAATATTAGATACTATTATGAATTTATGCCCAAATTGCCACTAAAGTAAATGTAGAATGGGGGATTGGTGTTATTATTGCAAAGGTTAAATTTGTTAATAGACTGTCAAAATAATTCAAATTGATAAAAAATCATATTTAATATGCTTAGATGCATTTCACTACCTAAGATAAATGAAATGTTTAAATTGTTTTAAAGATTATAAATTCTAAAAACTTTTAACGTCTGATGAGTACTGCAATAATTAATATACTTGCGATGATTGCCTTTCTAGATAATAAAATTGATTATTAATTATAATGTTATTTCATTTTTTTAATAATTTTATTTAAATGCCCTTTTTGATGAATGAATATTCATAATTTTTAACTAACTATTCATCGAAAGCATTATAGAAGCAAACTTTAATATAAAAATTATAAACAATTTTGAAAGTTGTCACAAAATAAGTTAAGTTTAATTACAATTAAAATTTATAAATAATTATTGCTCCTTATATAATCATTTATTTTATTATTTATAATCAAACAGATAAATCTAAAATAAAGGGATAAATTATTTATAAAAAATAAGAAAGTCTTTTTTTTCTTATAATGTTTGGAATGAATATCTCTATTGAAGATTATTTAATTATCTAATTCAAAAATAAATCGTTTAGAATCAAATTTATTTTCTAAATAAATGGTTTTTTTTAGTATTAAGAATACACTAAAAATAAAATCTAATTTTTTTTATGCTATAAAATTATTAGAAATTAAAGATAAGGAATTGAAAGTAACTGGTTAATAAAATGAGAATATAAATTTAATAAGAAACATGATAATTATTTGATATTGAGCGAATGAAAGATGAATATAGAGGAAACTAATCAAATTCCGCAAATGAGAGCAATAAGAAGAAAAACGAAAAGGATTTGAATTATTGATAAAAGAATGAGTCAAATTTGAAATGAGTTATATGTATTTGAACTAAATCTGAAATCTGTATATTTATAGATACAAGATATAATGGATTATTAAATTTCTTACAAATAATAAGTGAATTCGTTGATGTAATATCAATAATACAGCATGGCTGAAACGATTAGACATAGAGATTCAGTATTTAATGATGGTCAAAGTCTCTGGTGTTATAATTTATAGAATCATTTTAAGTAAAAAAACTAAAGAACATTTTTTGTAAAAACATTAAATAAATCAAAAACAAAAGACTTATAATTAGGAGATTCCCATATTTAATATTCTAAACATGTATAAATATAAATAAATAATAGAAATACATTAGTCTGGTGAATTCCTTTTTGAAAATATTATTTAAACAAAATGAGATTGTAGGATTTATATTAGAAAAGAATGATAATGTAGTTGAAATATATGGAGATACTCGGGAGTGGATTGATTCCTTTAAACATTTAACTATATAATTAGATTTTACATCAAATTATAAAATTGTTAAGAAAATAGGATAAGGAATAGCAGCTTAAGTGTATTAAGCTACTAATAAAATTAATAAACTAAATTTTGCAGCCAAAATATTCGAAAAAAAGAGAATAGTATTAGAAGAAACAGAAATAATTGCAATAAATAAAGAATTGTAATATTTAAGATTATTATAACATCCAAATATTATTAAACTTTATGAAGTATTCGAAAATAAATAACATATTATATTCATAACAGATTTATTTGAAGGAGGGGAACTCCATCATTCTCTAAGTAGATATGGTTTAGAAGAGAATCAAGTAGCAGAAGTGATTAAACCAATCATTACTGCAATTAGTTTCATGCATTCTAAAGGGATATTTCATAGAGATTTAAAACCATAAAATATTATGTTAAAAGAAATAGATGCATTTGATACTATATCTTTGATTGATTTAGGATTAGCAGATAAATTTACTAAAGAAGGAAAATATTTGTACAATCGATGTGGAACACCTGGATATGTTGCACCTGAAGTTTTATAAGATAAAAAATATGATCTTAAAGTAGATGTTTATAGTATTGGAATTATAACATATCTTGCTTTAACAGGAAAGGAACCTTTTGCTTCTAATAATTATGATGAATTAGTATAAAAAAATTATGATGGCAGAATTAGTTTAATTAATTTAAGTGTTTCAGAAAATTGTATTGATTTTTTAAAAAGAACTCTCTGTAAAGATAATAAATTGAGATTAAGTTCTGCAGATGCATTAGAACATCCATTTATTACTTTTGGTAAAGGAAATCATATATTTTAAACAAATAAAGGGGCAACTACATAAAGAATGAGTATGACTTCTTTAAGATGTAGTACAGATGCCTCATCTGAAAATGGTTCGATACCCAAAACTTTTAGAGGTAAAGTTCAATAATATATGAATACAATTTAAACTCTCAAATCTGATATCAATCAAGAAGTTAAAAAAGAAAAAGAAGAGAATCTGAAAAAAAGGAAGGAATTCTGTATTAGAAAATCTTAATTACTCAAAATCAAATAAATTTACAATAAGCCTGATTTTGAATGAATATTTTTTTCTTATTATTTTTAATTTGAATAAAATTTTGAATCAATATTATGTACACATAAAACATGCCAAATTTTGAATAAACTCATGAAGTTATGTAATAAATTGATTAATAATTGAATGATTATTTACAATCTAGAGGAATTGTAAATAATAACTCAGATCGATAAACTAATTATGATAAATTGATTTAATTAACTTAATAAAGGAACTAATCATTATAAGAATCAAATAATTAAATTAAGAAATAAATCTAATAGATTCAATTTTAAATGCAAAATATTAAGCTTGATTTCTAAGAGAGATTAAATCAAAAATTATAATTATAATAAATTGAATTATCATCATAATTTGAATAGAAAGTCTAATCATTTGGAGAAAAAGCAAAAATTAAATTAATGAATACTATACAATAAGAGGATTAATGTTTATAGCAATTCAATAATTTAGTTAATGAAAAAGCATAATTATAACAATAATTAGAAAATAAATAAGCTTAAAATGAATAAATACAATAGGAGAAGGTTGAATTAGAAGCATCTTATCAAAATTTACTATAAATGCATAACTAATTATTATAGGTTGATATGTCATAGAATGAATTATCTTAAAGCAGAACTAATGTTTTAGGTTTATTGAACAATTATAAATTAGAATTAGAATAATTAAAATTGGCAAATGAGAAAATATAAAAATAAATGGGAGGAGAACTGGATACTTTGAAAGTTGATTTATAAAAATAGAAATAAGAAAATGATTTTTTGATGGAGAAATTGAAATGCTAAAGTTAAGAGTAAATAGAATGTGATAATTTGTTTAATTAATTAATATAATAAAAAGCAAAAGATGATTAAATAAAAAAAAAAAAAGTTAAAAGTAAATAAAATACAAAATAATAGAAAGCAAAAATATGTTAAATAGAAAAAGAATTGAAACGATTGTAAGAAATTGTAAATACTAAAATTCAATAAAAAAAATCTAAATAATAATAATAATGATTGAAATATATTATATATATATATAAATATAGATAATAGTTATATAGGATATTTAATAGAAGATAGAGTATAGGAAATATTATAAATATGTTTGTTCTTTATGATAATTCAAAATGTATTGCAACAATTTTATCTATCTTTTTCATTAGCGGCATTCTTCTCATATTCATAAAGTTTGATCAATCCTTCAAATAATCTCTTGGTTACAATAGCTTCAGTAACACCGAATCTAGCTGATGGTGAAATGTCAGCAGTTCCTTCACTATCCATATTAGAATGTTCTCCTCCAACACCTCTTGCTTATAATCCTAATGTTTTAGCAATTTCTTTTAATCTTGCTTCATCTTTTCCATTCTTTGTAATATTTGGGAATTTGCCTAAAATAGATTATCTTTTTCCAGTTCCCATATTAGTTGGACAAGTAGTTATAATACCATAAGTAGAATGTTCTGCAAATTTTAATCCACTTCTTTCAATACCAGTTAATAATTCATGTAATGATTAATCAACTTTACCTAGATCATTACCTTATACAATAGATATAATTCTTAATTAATCTTCTTCACCTACCCATACCATTTTAGTTTCATCTTAACTTAACCATATACCTCTTCCATATGGCCAATCAGAAGCTACACCATTTGACATTAAATAATTATCATGTGTCATACTAATAAATAAAAAATGTTTATCTCTCAATACCTAAGCTTCTTAATCTGATATAAAATTTTTATGTCCTGGTGTTAAACTATGATATTTTCCAGGGAAACCAAATGATTCAAAGACTCCAACCATTTAATTTTCAAATTTAATTCTCTCATCTTTATCCATTGATGATGGTAAATTATATCCATCAACATTTCTAGCTACTCTTGCTCTCATTGAAACTTTTTCAAGTTTTGGATCAATTTTAGTAAGAACATATTCACCAACAGGTATATCCCAATCATGTTCTTATTTAGTTTATCCTTCTATTTTATGATATTCTCTAATTAAAGGTTCTAAATAAAACGAATAGAAATCATAATCTTATGGTCTAGTAGCAGCTATACCAACTGAGCTATCATCATTGGTCAATCCTGCTATCATTATGTCTAAGAGTCTTTATTAATCTTATTAATCAAGCTTTTTAGCTTTTTCGACTACTTCTTAAGTAAAATGTTTATTTCCTAAACTTACTTTTACTTTCTTTAATTCATCCCATCTTGCTTAGATCTTTGTATAATCTACATTTCCATTTTCATCCAAATACAATTTTCTTACGTCTTTCTTCTCAAAGATTTTCTAATTCATCTTAATTAATAAATATCTTTTTTGATTATATTTCAAATATAAACTTAGTTTCTTTAGCATTATATACAATCAATTAAAAATTATTGTATGGATTATTAATACTTCGTTTTTATATATATACATATATAATCAGTATTAATACAAAACTTTATATTCAAACTTTCTCTAACTACACAAATACTTCTGCTATCATCTCCAGTCTTACAGGTTTAGTAATAAAAGCATCAAATCCAATATTACCACATCTATCCTATTCGTTTTCATCATCATAACCTGATATAGCTATTATTTTCAGTTCATCTATTGACTTTTTTTATATCTATAATTATTCATATTATATACCATTTCTCTTATCATTTAAGTAGCTTGCCAACCATTCAATATTGGCATTAATAAATCCATAAAAACGTATTTTATATTTTTTTATTTCTAAAAGTTTATCAATTTATTTATAGCTTGCTAACCATTATAGGCTTCTAAAAATGTTATATTCGAACAGGTATCCTATAATAACAGTTTCATAGCTAAAACATTAAATGGTTAATCATCAACTATCAAAATTGAGAAATGTGGTCTATTTTATAATATCCTTTATAAACGATGTCTTGGATCGATAACATCTTAAGAATCATCAAGTGGTTATTCTTTATTTTTTATATAGCTCACAGTTGGTGAACGTTGGTTCTTCATGTAATTAATATTATTTTATTTCTATTGATCTGCATCCTCCTATTCTGGATGGAAATCGAAATTCACATCTGAATCATGTTTTTCAATTGGTCTTTAATATACATATAATAATGAAGACCTAACAAATGTTTATTAAATGGATTGTTGTTCATCGAATTAAGATTGACTATCCATATTAAAGTTTTTTGAACTACTTTCCTATTTAAATACACTAATATAATTAGGAGATCTTTTTGAGTCATCAGACAATCGAGAATAAATCTGAAATGACATCTTTGTTCCTTTATTTTATTCACTCCATATATCTATATTTTCTGATGGTCCCAATAATTTTATTAACTTTTTACATACCATTAATCCTATACCTGTACCACATTTATTCTGAACTTTCTAACTTGGAAATGTTGCGAACATATTAAATAATTTTGGCTTTATTAACTCAGATATCCCACAACCTGTATCTGCTATGGTTATTGTGTATATCATTCTATTTTATCCTGTTATTGTTTTTACTGATCTACCTGATAATTGTTTCCTCAATTATCCAATTGATTATTAATTTTATTATTAAGTAAACACATTTTTAGATGAACCTGTTCGAACTATGTGTTAAGATTTGTCTGTCTGATGAGAATTAACTGATATGGTTATAGAACCTGATTCTGTAAATTTTAATGAATTAGATATAAAATTCATTAATACTTATTTAATTCTATTTGGATCACTATATATTTAATATGTTGGCAAATCATAATGGGTATTAATAACAACTCCCTTTTATTCTGCCTAGATTGCCACCAATTCAACTACTTCTTCTATAATTTCATTCAAATAAAAATCAGTGATACTTAATCTTAATTAATTCTTTTAAATTCTTGCAAAATCTAAAATGTCTTAAATCATGTACAACATTAAAAATACATTTTTCTTGATTATTCTTAAATAATATTTCTATTATGCATTTATATCAAATTTCTCTTCCATAGCTTCCACAATAGTTGAAATTCCATTAATAGGAGTCTTAAAATCATGAAAAACTGTAGCTAATATCTAATCCTTATTATCGTTTTGTCTTCTACTTTCCTCTAATTCATCATTTAATATTTCAACCATTTATTAATTTCGTAAATCTTTAATTTAAATCATAAAAGCTCCCTTATAATTCCAAATGCAATGCTAAACTTAAATATTAATTCTTTTTTATTTTAATTCCTTGATTGAATCAATATGATACTAACTGTCTTTGAATTATCTAAATTTACTTTTTTTGACTTAATAAGGAGTATCATCATTAAATTAATTTGAATTTTAATTTTTTAATGATTCACCCTGACACTTAGGACTTTCTATTACTAATTCTTATCTATCTTCATTAATTTCATCATGAATAAATGTTGATACCTTCTTATTTTAATGTTAATCCATATATGAATAATCTTCATTTGAGATTTATTAAAGTCTGCAATATTAAACTTATTCTTCAGGTGTAATTTGTAGTTTTTATTCATCAAATATTGAACTTAATGTTTTATGACTAGAATCTTGAAATTATTCAAGTGTATTAATAAAATATTTTTAGTTAGTAATTGTATAATAAAATTCAGATTCAATTTAATTAGTATGAAATAGTGGCTGTTTTGTTTAAGCATCTATTATTAATATAGAATTAGTTATTGTCTCTTTGAAAAAATCAGTAATTAAATTAGAAAGATTTTATTGCTGCTTGTCAAGTTTGAACAATAATGGTACAAATATTAGACTAAAATAAGGAAATAGATTTGTATAGAACTCTAATCTTATACATAAGTAAAGATAGACAATAAAAAAAATGCAGATTCGAAATGATATTCTTTAAATAGCTGTTATAAGTACCAGCAGTCTTATGATTAAGAAAAGCATATATTCCTAATAATTATAATTGTAAATACAGCGGTTTGTTATTGTTATGAGAATTCAATTTACAAAATTTAGCATAACATATATGAAACTATTAAGTAGCAATCTCTAATCAAGGCATTTAAAAAGTTTTTATGGAGCAAAACAATAAAAGCAATCATCAAAATTAACTCTGCTAGAAATGCAATCGCAAACTCAAAACAAGAGGATTCCTAAAACATATTTACCACTCCAATCACAAGACAAACTATAACATCACAGATGCCATATTATAGTAATCTATTGTTCATATTAAATTAAAATTTATAATATATCAAGTATTCTCTATTTCAAATTATAGCCACAAAATAATTTAGGCTATTTCTTCATTACATTAATTTAAAGTTAAACTGTGACATTAAGTTTTAATATTTCTTATCACTTTTAGAGACTAATCATTTAACTACTTATTTTTATTATTTTTAATAGATTTTATATACACAGACTTAAATTTACTTTATTTAATAATTCTAACAAAAAAAAGGAATCATTAACTTTAATTTTAATTCTAATCTATTAATGAAATAAAATTTATTAAATTAATAAAATAATAATTATTCTTTGTCAATATCTTCTTCCATTTTTATTAACTAAGATATATATATTAATTAGCTTCATCAAATTCTTCAAAACTATTTTATAGAGTCTATTAATTAGAAGTCAAAAATTCAAATTAATTTAAATTAATATAATAAATTCAAAATTAAATAAATTTGCTTCCTGATTTTTAGTAAGGACTTAAACTAGATTACTTAACTACAATAGGTGTTTAATAAACATTGACATTGTAATAATGATCCATCGACATATCTTTTAAATACTTTATTCCAATCTATTATTTTGCTCCAATCTATTGAACTTTCGTCAAAATAACTGGAGAATAATGTTATGTAGGATGATCTCTTTTTTATTAAAAATAATGGCTAAAATATTAATTTATTTGTTAATTATTTCTTTATTAATTAGGAGATCCCTATTAAGTAGGATGACTCTTCTTCTGAGTGTTATTATAACTACTCGAATGATGAGTTGAAACCTATGTTAATTGTTTATTTGCAGGTTCTGGAATATGTGTTAAATTCTTCTTTCTATTTGTTTTCTTTTATTTATTTATTAAAGATTCCAAAATTTATTTTGTTTAACTCTTCTATTAATTTAATAATTAGTTATTTAACTCCTGTAATCTTTGTACTTCTTATTACAATGCAGAGTTTTCATCTTACAATGATCTTTTACTACTTGGCTTAATAGCTTAAACTAATTAATTTCTATCAAAATCAAATTCAATTTCAATCTCTTCAGAACCTTATTAATTAAAGTTATCTTTTAATTAAGAGTTTAATTATTTTTCAAGATTCCAATAATTACATTTCCAATCATCTAATTCTGTTTCTAATTTATGTATATAATCTATTAGTTTGTTTATTCTTTACACAATTTAAGACTCATTAATTTCAAATTATTCTCCTATTGGAGATTCATCAATATTTATTTTGTTTAATGCATTGAAAATTTCATAAAATTTAAAATTTTATACAACAGATTAATTAAGACTTTTAATCTGAGGACATTCACTTTCTTCTTATATAATTTATAATTCATCCATTCTTATATGACTATTTTCATAAGGCTATTCAATTAAATCAATTTAAGGTTCATCAAAAATTGAATTATCTAAGTTACTTTTTAATTATGCAATTTCTCTATTATGTTATTTTTCTTATTCATAATATCTTTATTGCCATTCTATAATAATTGCTTCTTATTATTCTATTGTTTTTAATTATGATAATATTTTCTATTTCAAATTCTAAATAAGTCTTATGATTAGTTACATCAATTTCTTAATTTTTGGCATCTAAGTCTTTTTTCAATTATTCATTCTAATTATCAATCTATAATTAGCAATATAAATACACATGATTAGTTGAAATTTATCTGTGGCATTAATTATGAAATTCAAGGCTTTTTCTTTATATAGAAATTTAATTAATCGACACTCTAATAGGTGAAGTAATCCAAGACTCTGATCTTAATTTTGGTGATTTATAAAAAGTAGTAATTCTTCTTATTGGATGGGAAAATGATCTTTTCATTACTATCATTTTCTGTTAATTAAAATTTATAAATGGATTAATCAGAATATTCTTATCTATAATGTCCTGCTTAAGCTGCTGCTATATAACATGAATGTATTTACTATTCAATAATATTTAGAATTATATATTCGAAAAACAGAGAAAGACAAATAATATAGAAAGATATTTGGTGGAGATGTTCAATATGATTAATTTGAGATTCAACACATTAAATTGTTGGAAGAAGAAATCTAAAAAAAAGGAATAAAATTACCAGAGAAGTATAAATATATAAGTTTATTCTATTAAGTTGGACATAGACTGACACCTTAAAAATTATCTACAATGGTAAATTTAAGATTAAAGATTGTATTGAAGTAAAAATAATATAAATATTAAATGTAGAGATTAATAGCTCATATAACTTGGAGAGCAAATCCAAATATGCATAACTTGAATAAATAAATGTAAGAGTTTTTAGAGGCTGGATTTTTATACACTTTTGGTAGAGATTATTAATTTAGACCTATAATTTATTTAGAAGCATATAGAATAGATTAGAAAAAAGTAATAAAATATAATTATTATTTAAGTATCCAAAAGATTTCATGATCTAAACACTTTCATTTTTTTTAGGATTCGTTAAGAAACATATGATGATGCCAGGAAAAGTTGAAAATTGGATATGTGTTATTGATACAAAAGATATTGGAGTTTTTGGATTACCTTCTGGATTAGGTGATATAATTAAAACTATGGCTCTTAATTTTGTTGGATGTTTACATAAAATGTATGTATTAAATCCATCTACAGGAGTGGATTTATCATGGAAAGCTGGTGCTGCATTTATGGATGATGAAAGTAAATCTAAAAATGTCTTTTTAACAAAGAAAACTTTAGAAAAGTTAAAAGAAGCAATTCCTCAAGATTAATTAGAAAAAAAGTATTTAGGAAATGTTGATAATTTAACTTAATTTTGGCCTCCTTAAGTAGCTAAAAAATGATCTAATTATTAATCAATAACATATCAAAAATTTAAGAATTCTTTATTATTAAAATTAATTCCAAAACCAATTTATTTCATATATTTTAATTATGTTGGATTTAATTTTATCCGCTACTATCATTATAGTATGATGATATTAAATTATTTATTTTATTTTATCACGAATAATTATAACTTTCTATCTTTTTGACCATGATTAACTTATAAAGATTTTAGATATTCAGTGTTTAGTAATAAATTAAACATAAATTGGATATAATTATTTTTTTTTACATATTTGAGATTTACTTTAATGATTTACTTTTATTAATATCCTACTTGCTATGACTTATTTGATAGCAATTAAGATTATAATTCAGACATCTTTTAGCATTTTCAATTTAAAATTAAGACTGTACCAATTCTTCCTGAGAAGGTCTAGGAAAACAAAAGTATTAAATGATGAGAGTTTGTGAAAATTATTCAATACCATCAAGTTTTTGTAGGGATTATTGATTATGACTTTCTCATCTGGCTTTAAATATTAATTTACTAGTATAAGAGAAGTCATTATGCATTCTTAGTTTCTAAGTTATTCAATACCAGATCTAGAATGCATCCACCCAAATATTACATCTAATTAAATAAAGTAATTGTTTTTTTTACTAGGTTTAGAGATGAATAAGTTTCATTAAAATTTAAAAATTAATATACATTATAAGAGAATCAATTTATAAATTTTCTAATTTCTATTTATAAATTGTCATAATACAACCAATAAATGTTCAATTATTTCCTATGGATGCTTCTGCTATCTCTGAATTTCATTTCCAAAAATCAAGTGACTTTATGTGATAATTAAAATTTTAGATTAAAGATGAAAGATTAAATTAAATACTTTTATTTTGAATACTCTTAATACTTAAAAAAATAAACAATAAACTAAATTCATGAAAATTGATCTATTTATCTAATTTCATAAAATATGAAATTTAAAATAATATCAAGCTCTCTTTATTTTCATAAAAAGAAATTCTTAAATTTAAGTTAATTCAATATCTCCATTTTTAGCACATTTATAACCAAAAATATATTTCAATTACAAATATTAATATGCTTAGAAATTGAGAATCTGATTCCAAAATTTAAGGTTAATATTTTCATTTAACTCACAATTAAGTAATTTCTATTTTTTAATAATTCAAATAAACAATATGTTAATTTATTAAATTTTGATATAAGTCTTGATCAGAGATATGTAATTTTAGAAACATAAAAAAGTTTAGTTTAAAAAAAATCTGATATTTGATTAATTTAATCTATCTATTAAATTTAACTAAAGTCTTTTTTTGGATAGTTATTAGAAATATAATTACCCATCAGTTATAAAATTATATTAATAATATCAATTGAGGTTCTGTAACTTCTACTAAAGTACTAATTAATATTTATTTTGGTATTATTTTTTTGCTGAATCCAGAGTTCCTTATTTTCTAGTACTACTAAATTATGTAGGACTCTCTTCGATGGGCAAAGTATTAAATTGATTCCGATATCTATATTTTAATTATGCTGTTCTAGTCTAATGCAATGCTTGCTAAACGTTTAGTTAAGCAGGTACAATGCATTAACTAGCCTTACGAGAATTCGAGAGAGAACGACTTAATTATTTTGGAGGTGATTTAGCTGAATTTTATATTGTATTCTATGTTGTATTATTCGTTGTATTCTATGTTGTATTATTCGTTGAGGCTGTCATACCAACATTTCCATTACTTAAATCAGGTTTTATACGACTCTTTATAATCTTCAACTTATCTTTACTCAACTTTGCTTATTAAGTTAAAATATGATTCATTAAAAACTCGACCCTTTACTTAATCTCTAAAGGTTATTATGATTTTATTTGAGTTGGTTTTAAAAATAATTTAGCTGGAGATCTTCCTGTATCTTCTTAATCCTCAACTTGTGTTAATAAATGTCTATATATAAATTTACTTTTACTTTTTGCTTGTTTTATTTGAAGGTATAGTTTTTTATTAAGTATTAGCATGTTTAATAATTGATGTTGGACCTTCTGGAACTTTAATTACTATTACAACTTTATTAGCTAAGCTAGCTTTATTATTGAATTGATGTGGACGTAACAATTTAGTTAAGTGTGTGATTTCTTAATCTTCAGGTATCATTTATTTATCTACTCCATAGAGTTTTTTATAGACTTGATAAATTTGATTAAAAATTGAAGACATATGAGGAACATATGTATAATATATTTCTAGACTTTTGCAAAGCCAAATTTCAAGATTTGATCGATTATCGAAATTGGAATTAATAAATCTTAATTCAGTAGAGATACTATAGAAGCTTAATCCAGCTAACATGATTAATTCAAGTATAACTTCTTCAGTAATAACCATTTCAGGATTAGTTATAGGATATAATTCTTCAATATCAACTTAGGTCATTTACATTAAGCCTAGAATTTACATTTATAACATTGGATGATTATCATTAAGATTTGGATACAATTTATTATTTTGATTGATTGTATTTGTAATAGAGATAGATTCACTGTATTTATCTAAGGATTGACTACGACTTTAATAACTTCTAATAATTTGTGTATTTTTATCATCAAATTAAGATTAAGGCATAGAACATTTAATAAGTACCAAAATTTCTTTAAATACCATTTCTACAATTTAACTATATGATAACTTTTAAGGTTGAGGAGATATCATAGATGCTAGAGTCATTTCTGAATTAGCTCTTTATTTTTTATTAATTAAATTAGTTAGATTCATCTATTAACATAATTTAATAGTAGTTTCAAAGATAACTTTGAGTTATTTTAAAGCACTTTTCGCTAATTCTAAAGCTTATTTATTTCTATAGTTTATCTATTTAAATATTATACCTTCTACTCTCAGAAAATAATAAAGTACATTAAAAGATGATACGCAATCTCATAAGTTTGTTTTATACAATTCTTGCTAAGAATTATATATCTAGGGATTATTTTTTTAATTATTTTCCTTTGATTTTAAGAATCTAATCACTATCAAGTAATAAATTGATGACTTCTTCTGTCAATCCATACTTTCTTAAAGCCAATGCATAATTAATTTTTTAATATAAAACTGTAGTATATTAGACTTATACCCTAAAATAGAATGATTATAATGATACTAATTCTAAGTGAAATAATCCAATAATTACTAAGCTCTAATATGATACTCTAATTATTCATTATCTGGAATATCTGACATTGCAATTCTAGTTAATTCATTCATCACTTAATCCCCACAATCTGGCTTTAAATATATTATCTCTTATGATTCTTCTTTCTAAGATTGTTAGTTATCAAAAATAAATAAATACTTAGATCATAAAGTTCTCTTTAGAACTAAAGTTCTCTCTAATAAAGACAATCTTTCTCTGTAGTAACTATTATACAATAAATTAAGGTGATTTTTCAATCAATCTTTGTTGTTTCTTGAATGCTTCAAATTTTAGCATTTTTTTATATTAAAAATGAAAATTGATGCACTTGCTACTCCTAGATAATACATTCTTCGTCTAAATTATCATCCTGCTGATCATAAATCATAAATGCCATCTTCACCTGCTCCTAATATTAAATAATACAATGATATATCCAAATTAATCATTACAGATTCCATTATAAGTAATCCATCAGCATTTATTATTCATAGATAAAATCTAATTACCATAGATATCTCCAATATCATCATCTAAACTTAATCATTCTATTAATTTCCCTCAATCTAATACTGTGTCTGTTCAATCTAAATAATTCCACATTATTACTTCTAAAAATACAAGAGCAAACACTTGTATATAATAAATTACACAAACTTCTAATCATTCACTTAATCGTTCAAATCATAAAAAACCTAGAAAATCTTAAACAGCATTTAAAAAAAACTCAAGAATCATTTCTTAACATATTCCATTATCACCTTCTATTCCTTTTGATCCTCTTATATCTGCTTAAAGTTGGTGTATTGTTAATGCTAAAGATGGAACAATCTTAGCTGGATTTAATGAAAAACTTACTACATAAATTGCATCGCTTACTAAAATTATGACTTGTTGGCTTTCTCTTAAACTCATCTCTTTAATTTCATTTGATCTAGATAATACTTATTTTACAGTTCCTTAAGCAGTATTTACAACCATATAAATAGGCAGAAAAAATTGGTGGAACCTCAGCATAACTATCAAGTGGTGATCAATTAAATTTAAGAGATCTTCTATATGCACTTATGTTACCTTCAGGTAATGATGCGGCCATAACTTTAAAACATAATTTCGAAATTCAGACTGGAATCAACTTTATAGATGAAATGAATAATTTTGCCAAAGAACTTGGTCTCAAATCTACTCAATATACTAATCCTCATGGTATTTATATATATTATATTACAAAGGATTATATCAAAAATATAATTATTCGTCTGCTCTTGATATTGCTATTCTAACTTAGAGGGCCTTATAAAATGAACATTTTGCAAATATTGTAAAAACTAAAATATACTTCAGCGAAATAATTGATAAATAAGGTAATACAAAAGAAATATTGTGGGAAAATACAAATAAATTATTAGAACAGGGTTTTGAAGGAGTTAAAACAGGTCAAACAAAAGAAGCTGGCCCTTGTGTTGTCGAATATTATTAAGATTTAAATAATTCTTATATAATTGTATTATTAAAATGCAAATCTATAAATGATAGATGGGATGATGCAATAAGGTTGTTGAATTGGATAAAATAATGAATTATATTATATTTGCATATTCTCTTTACTATATGATTGTTATAATAGTAATTTATGGGTTTGAATAAATTAATTAAGTTGTAAATGGTATATATTAATTATGATTAATTTTGGTGATTAAGTGGGACATAAATTATTTTGTTAAAATAGTTTAGTTTTTACATATTCAGGAGAAGACTTATTAATATTAGAAAAAGACACAATGAAAATGAGTAATAGAATCAATGTAGGTAGTGAAATATTAACAATCGGTGTAAATGGGGACATTTATATTTTGACTAATAATTAAGAATTTATTGTATATTCTGTAGATGGTAAACGATTATAGAGTAAGTAACACAAAGGAAAAGTGTTTAATCATGCATTATTTCATAATGATCATTTTATTGCTATTGATGGAACTAATATAATTAGAGTAGGAATAACTAGTTCTATAATATATGATGCATAATAATTAAGAAAAATAACAAATATTGAATATTCGGGATATAAGGAATAATTAATCATTGCAGATGACAAGTGTATTCATGTAATAGGTAATGAAGATAAAATCTTAAGAGAATTCGGTATAGGAATAACAATAATGAAATTGGATGATGATTAAGATCTTTTAGCATGTGGATTAGCTAATGGTTAATTAGTATTACTGTAATATTCAACTGGTATTATAATTTAATAAGATCATTGGCATGCTCATTAGATTAATGCATTGTTATTTTAAGGTGCATCACTCTATTCTGCTGGTTAAGAAGGTGTTATTGTATAATGGCATTTAAGAGTTGCAAGAAAAGCATTCTTTCCAAGATAAGGAGGAGAAATTGTAGCTATATGTAATGCTGATGATAATATTATTATTAATGTTTAAGGAATTAATCAAATTAAGTAGATTTCATTAATGGGTTAAAACAAATTACCTATTTATTAAGGAATTCATCATGTTTATCCTAAAACATTTATCACTTTCTAAAATAAATTAATCACTTAAGGAGCTAATGGAACTTTATAAGTTATTCATCCTATTTAAGGTACTCTATTAAATGTCATTCCAATATCTTAGAAAAATTATGTTTCTAATATTGATGAATCATATAAAAGAGATACAACCACTATTAAATAAGTATTATTATTTTATCTATTCTAGTTTGCAATATTAGATAGATTTTTAATTGTTCTTTTGACATCTACACTTAAATAAACACTTTCAATTTTTGAAAACATTAATAATTTTGAATTTAATCTGATTACTACAACTGATTATGAAATTGAAGGTATGGATACAGGTCATAATTCTATTATCACTTGGGGTAATGGAGAAATTAGATTATGGAAACAAATTAAGTAAAATAAAGGATAATATAATTGGAATTGTATATTCAGAGCTAATGGCTATAAAGGAACTAAAATATTAACATCTTTTATCTAAGATGAATAAACCATTATAATTGTTACATCTATTACTATTTTATATGTAAACATCAAAAATAATAATATTGTGAAAGAAGTAACTTTAGATTAAACATCACCTGAAGCTGCTTTTATTTATTAATCAGGTGTAATAGTTTGTAATGGAGGCACTATTACTATCTATCAAGATACCAAAAAATAAATTATCACCTAATTTGGTAATGCTTAATCTATTTCCAAAATTAATGAAAATTTAATCACTATTTAATATGAGAATTAAGTGGCTTTAATCTTAGATCTCAAACAATCTAAAATTCTTCATGGAATTGCCTCATAAAAATTAGTATCAGCTATTATAAATGGCAGGTATCATATAAATTAAATATTTTAGAACTCTATTATATTCTTACACAAACAAAAATAATTTATATAAATTTGTTACTGTTTTAAGTACTGAAAGAAAAGCCTCTTTAATGATGGATGAATAAGAAACTGCTCATTTTGAATAAGTTGAATAACCTGATAAACCTATAATCTAAGATGATGCAACACTTGATCCAAATGTCTATAGGCGTTTATAATTAGCTAAATATGCTAGATAAATGTAATATCATAACTTTATTTCAAGAAAAGAACTCAACATTAGAGAATTTTTAACTACCTAATCCTAAATGTTGCCTTCCTTAACATTTCTAGCTGATCGAGTCATTGATGTTTTTAAATAAGATCTAAGTGAATAACAAAAAAATTAATCATTTGGAACCAATCTAAATCAAGAAGAATCATAATCTAATCAATTTAAGACATCCTTATAATTACATCAATTAAAGAAATTGTTTAAATGAAAATATATGTTAATTTACAATCATTTTTTAGTCATCAACTTATCTCATCATCCAAAAATCAAATTTTAGATTTTTATATCAAATCTTTATTCATATTTATATTGATGTTTTGATCCTATATCAGATTATTTAAATTATTTCTACTCTTGATTGTAATTTTGAATTACTATTTACTGAATAATGTGATTTTCCTATTATTAATTATTTTTATAATCTTACGTTTAACTTTTTATATATATCTATATAACAAATTTAATACAATTAAATGATTTATGTTATTGTTATATTTTATTTTTGTAGAGTTCATCTTATATTTAACCTATTTTTAACATAATTGGTGAAGAATTAAAATTTATATATTTTATTTATTTCTTCAAGAATAATTTTGAAAATCCTTTAAGGAAAGTATAAAAAAATGGGTTATATTGAATCTTTTTGAAAGGCCATCATATTATTAATATAATTTAGACTTTTGAAATAGTTACTAAATATTTCTATAATTTGGATTGACTCAATAAAATTTTTCAATTTTAAAATTAACTAGGCTTTGATTATACTTTTTTCTAAAAATACAAGACTAAATTTTTTATTTTAGATTATTATTTTATGAATTTTTAACTACTTATTTTTAATTAGAAAATACCTTTGAACTTATTTTATTTATAAAGATTGAAATTGTTAGTTTCTTTCCATTTGGATTTAACAATACTAAATTAAAATTTTTTAGTTTCAAGAACTAATGTGATAAATTTAACTAATCATAATATATAGTATATTATTGCTTCATTATTATTTAAGTTTTTACGCAGTCTTAGAATAATTTTCTGAAAATCTAAGAAATTTTCCATCAAGTAAAAGTTCTAAAGAAAAGTAAACTTCATTGATTATGCTCATTTTAGGATTTTCGTTACTCTATTGATTTTCGAACTAAGAATATATTTTTATACTTAGGGATGAAATTTGCAAAGATTCTAATAAAGAATTTATTTTGAAATCTTCTGCCTAAACGAATGGTTGAAAGATTAACTTTATTAGAACAGTAATATCATAAATAATAATATGTATTTCACAGACTACTTTAGTTCATTTTTATATTGTAATCTCAATTTCTAAGGCTTCGTCATTATCAATAACAACAAAATTGGTATTTAAGTTGTCTCTATATGTAACTTAAATCTATTGCAAGTAATATTTTGCCAAATAGTTCTTTAAAACCTTTTCATATATTTATGGATTTAAATCCAGTTGCATGTTTTCAATACCATTGGATTAGACATTCAATTTATAAGGAAGTGATTAATCAGGATATAAAATGCTACCAGATTGAGTGTAATCAAAATTTGTTGAAATTTTAATTTATTGTTCTGACACAGTGAATCCGTTGTAGCGTTCTTAATTTTTTATTTCAGCATTTAAACTAAAATTCATAAATTGATGTTGGTTCAAATCAACTTTCATTTAAGCAAAATTTGCTCTAATCTTGAAATAATTTAAAAAATTGAATTACTTTTTAAGGAATCCTTAAAAATTACGAATTTTTAGGAATAGTATGATTATTATAATAATTAAGTATTTCTTCTAAGTTTTCAATTTCAAAATAATCTCCTAAAGTGAGACAAACTTATTATTCTTTATTAAAAGAGGTGTATATCTTAGAATTCTTGAAATGATATTAAACAGTATTCAAAAGATTTTAGAATTGCCTCCTTTAATAATAATTTAATATTAATACTTTAACCCATATGCAATTCCTATAATGTACCAATTATCATCGTTGATTTCATATACAACATCACTTTAACATAATTAACACAAATGAGATGTGTAATTATTTTAATCACAATCTTTAATCTCTTATTTAATTGCTTCAAATAAATCTTAAGATTGTAAAGAAATTTTATTTTATTGTTATTCTAATTATTTAAAAATGAATACTTTCAGTCAATTAAAAGAAATTTAGATCTGCATTCTTAATGTGTTTGGAATTATTTCTTAATTATTTCTACCCTTTTCTCTCCTCTTTTTCTACTTTTGAAAGAATTTATTAAAATGAAAATTCTGTGTCAATTTATTAATTTAATATTTGAATTTCTGATTACTGTTTTTGTAAATGATCAAGATTATCCCCTTTATTTGATTTATTCTCTAAACCTTATTAATTATTTTATTTAGTAGCCATCTTATATTTCTGTTTATTCATCAATTATTAATTTTATAATTCAATCAATTATTATTATTATTTTAAGATTTCTTATTATTATTTTTATTATAATAATTTTTATTACTGTTATTCTTCATCTAATTTTCTTAATTTTTCTTCTCTTGCTTTTAATTTCTTTCTTTTTTTCTCTTTTTCTAATTACTCTTACTATTTCTTTTAAGCCATAAAAATTTCGAATTGTTCTTCATTGTAATCCATTTCAGTTTCTTCTACTTATAAAAAGCTGCTTTGCTATTTCTTTTGATGGGTTAAAGTGTTCTTAGAAATTGGTTGGTCTTATTTAGTTTCTAAATCAATATATTAAATTTTAATAGTATCATCAATCTTCATATCTTATTGTATTTGTGAAATAGAGTAAATTTTGTTAATTGAAAGCACACTTGAATTATCGTCAGATTAATTTTAGTTTGTCTCTTCTATTTATTATTATAATTATTGATATTACTATTACTATTACTATTACTATTACTATTACTATTACTATTATAATAATTATTATTATTATTATTATTATTATTATTCTTATTATTATTATTATTATTATTATTATTATTATTATTATTATTATTATTATTATTATTATTATTATTATTATTATTATTATTATTATTATTATTATTATTATTATTATTATTATTATTATTATTATTATTATTATTATTATTATTATTATTATTATTATTATTATTATTATTATTATTATTATTATTATTATTATTATTATTATTATTATTATTATTATTATTATTATTATTATTATTATTATTATTATTATTATTATTATTATTATTATTATTATTATTATTATTATTATTATTATTATTATTATTATTATTATTATTATTATTATTATTATTATTATTATTATTATTATTATTATTATTATTATTATTATTATTATTATTATTATTATTATTATTATTATTATTATTATTATTATTATTATTATTATTATTATTATTATTATTATTATTATTATTATTATTATTATTATTATTATTATTATTATTATTATTATTATTATTATTATTATTATTATTATTATTATTATTATTATTATTATTATTATTATTATTATTATTATTATTATTATTATTATTATTATTATTATTATTATTATTATTATTATTATTATTATTATTATTATTATTATTATTATTATTATTATTATTATTATTATTATTATTATTATTATTATTATTATTATTATTATTATTATTATTATTATTATTATTATTATTATTATTATTATTATTATTATTATTATTATTATTATTATTATTATTATTATTATTATTATTATTATTATTATTATTATTATTATTATTATTATTATTATTATTATTATTATTATTATTATTATTATTATTATTATTATTATTATTATTATTATTATTATTATTATTATTATTATTATTATTATTATTATTATTATTATTATTATTATTATTATTATTATTATTATTATTATTATTATTATTATTATTATTATTATTATTATTATTATTATTATTATTATTATTATTATTATTATTATTATTACTCATCATTATATGAATCAATATTAGAAGAAGAATTATAAACATCAAATTAAATTACTTCATTTTCTTAATTTTCAAGTTCTTAATCAAATTAATTAATAGAATTTTAATTTTATAGTTCATCTACAGGAATCAAATTTGGAGTATCACTCTCTTAAGATGATGAATCTGATTGAGAATATTCTTAAAAATGAACTTAATTTTCTTAAACACTCTCATCATCTATATTAATTTCTTTTTATATATCTTCCATAGGTTAATCTTCAGATGAATCGATTGAGTTTTGATTATCAAATTTATTTAAATTTTCCTTTGAATTTTCTGATTAATCATCAAAGCTATTTGATTTTTCAGTTTTTTCAAATTGAAATTGATTTTAGTTAAGATCCTATTCTTCTAAATTGAATTAAGTTTGATCACTATGGCTATCTGATTGTTAGTTTGTAGCAGAATCAGAAACTTAATTAAAATGAGTTGGATTATCATTAATTGAAACTTCTTTACTTATTTGAATTTATGGTTCAAATTAAGTATCATCATTTTATAAATCAGATTATTATTCATCAACAGATAAATTAATTGTTGACTATTCAATTATTTATTCTTATTAATCATTGACTACTTAAGTTGTAAAATCATTATTATGAAACAATTCATTATTTTAAGAATAATTAGCAGTTTCAGGTTCAGTATTTTCTTGATTTCTATGTTATTATCTTTCATATTCATCAATATTAAATCCATTTTCTAAAGTTTCATCTTTTAATTTAAAGCTATTTTCATCATCTAATTTATTTTCTAGTACATCTTCTTTATCCACTTTAATTACAGTCTATTCTATTTCGTTTTTGTATTACTCATTCTAATTATCTATTTTTAAATCATCCTTCTAAATATTTTAATCATCTTGTATAGCCTCCTATAATTATTTTACATCTTATTTAGGAATAATATCTTATGTGGGAAGTATTTCTTATTTAGGAACTATATCTTATTATTATTCAGAATTTTTTGATTCAAATCCTTATAATTCACTTTATTCTTAATTTATTTATTATTAGACTTATTCAATTTCTTTCTCTTCTTTTTATTTTTCATTAATTAATTATTTCTCATATTCTTCTAATTCATACAATTTTTATTCGTCTTCAATTTTTTTTTATTCTAACTCTAACTTAATCTTTTCTTCTTCTTCTATCATTTCTTCTACTTCTCTTTTCTTTTTTAATCTTTCTGCTTCTTTAACTTCTTCAAGATAATCTGAAGTTTCGACATTATTTTCCATCACAAAACCTTAAGATAATGTATTTTCCATTTAATTATCTGTTTAATCATAATAGATATTCATATCTTTTTCCTAAATGATTGTGTCAGTCTATTCTTATTATACAACTTAATCCTATTCTATGTATTATTTATCATCTTAATCCTAAGTTTCTGATTAATTTTCTTATTCATCATTATAAGTCTTATTATTTATTTACTCTTATTATAAATTTTAAATTTATTCTACTTCATTTTATTATTCTTCTTAATTTTATTTTTAGTTTAATTATTAAATTTCTTATTAGTTTACTTGATTCTCTAATTAATTTTCTGATTACTTTTCTTATTACTTTTCTTATTCAATTCCTTTTTCAATTTCTTATAAATTTTCATTTTCAATCTCTTATAAATTTTCATTTTCAATTTCTTATTAAATATCTTATTAAGTATTTTACTAAATATCTTAATTTCCTAAATTATTACTCTCTTAATCAACTTATGAAACTTATTCTTAATTATTATCATTATTATTATTTATTTTCTCCCCATGATGCTCATCTGAAATAACTTAAGGTTATTCTAAATTTGAATTAATTTCCTCATCATTATCATTTTAATTATAATTTTGATTGGTTTATTCATTTTGCTTAATTATGTTTTCTGATGATTCTTTGATTGAAGTTTCGTAACCTATTTCAACAGATGATTAATCTTATTATTTTTAAGAATCAATATTTGAATTATTTTGTGATTCAATTTATTATTATGAAATATTATCATCAACAGATTCCATATCATTATTTTAATCTGAAATAAAATACTCTTGATGAGATTCATCATGTTCTTGTTCTTAAAAATCTTATTAATCTTGACTTAATTGATTAAGTTGATCAGGAGAATCATTAAGTAACTCTGTTGAATCTTATTAAACTGATTTATTATTATTATCAGATGTTTCTTATTAATTTTATTCTTTAGGTTCATCTTAAAGATCCACTGATTTTAATTCTAGTTCTACTTCTTATGTAGATTTGAACAATTATTCTTATCTATCTTCAACCTATATTTTAGTTAATTATTAAGCCTCTTTTTCTTTTTTTTCTTCTGCTTTTTTATTTAATAGTTTTTTTAAAGGATTTTCAGGAGCTTAATTGGATACTGATTTAATATTAGTTGATTCTATATTATCTTATTATTATATTTCCTATGTTTCTTAAGATTCTTTTTATTATTTCTATTTCTTAAATTCTTCAATCTTTTTCATTAAAGTAGTTTTAGCAACACTCTATTCTTATTAGGTAGTCACTTATTCTTAATTATTTACTTCTTATTTAATTTGAATTGCTGCTATAACTGATGGTTGTTAAGCCTATTTCTTTTTCATTTCTAATTTTTCTCTTAATGTCATTTTTTTTTCAACAGGTTAATCATTTTCTAGATTAATATCTATTTTAATATCTTGTTTTTGTTGTTCTTCTTTAACAAAATACTTTTTAAATTTTCCTAATTTAATAGGATCAGTTTGAAGTTCAGTTTCTGCAATATTTTCAATTTGTGGTTCAAGTCCATCACTTAATTCTTATAAATAAGATTATATTTAAATTTCTTTATGTTCTGGTTCTACAAAATTGATTTGTTCTTCTTGTTCAATTTCATGTTTACCAGATCTTACACTTTTATAAAAGTCTCTAAATGAAACTTCATTTTTAGTATCTTCTTCATCTATTTATAAATGAGGCTTTTATTATTTTAATTATTCAGTAGCTTTCTTATATATTAAGTCTTCTGATTCTAATTCTGATTCCTCTTTGAATTTTGGTTACATTTAATTCAGTAAACTGAGTGCTTCAGATCTAAGAATAGATGCAATCATACCCTGCATAATTAATATAAATTAACATACATAATACTAGGGTTGTTCTCAGAGTATGCATTATACGTTTTATATGAGTTTATTATATAATTTATTTATTTTACAATATATTATTTTAATCATTCTAGTAATTATACTTTAGAATTCTTAATTGTAGCTTTAAAGATTCTTTAAGCATGAATAAGTGATAAAATATTCAAAATCAATATTCCAATTATTACATAAATCATACCTTCAAAATTAGATTTACTTAATAATAAAGATATGCTTGATGTTAATGCTATCCCTATACACTAATATTATATAATAACATTTACTATTAAAATATCATTCGCAACGAAATAATAACTTTTATCAGATACTAATACACCTGTTATCATAGCAGCCAATGATTCACTCCCTGTAAAAACTATTCCACAAAAAAAACCAGCAGCATAAGTAGTTGTTATTATCTTCCAATAAAAAGAAGCAATTCCTAAAATTACAAAAATACTTGCAAACAAAATTTAACACCAACCTACTATAAATAAATTAGCCTTCTAAGATAATTTACCTGCTCCTATTCCACCTAACATCATTCCAACACCTCCGATCAAATAAAGCAAAAAAGTATGTTCATTTATTGTAATCCCATCTTATACATGTTTCAAAAGAGCTGGTAAAAATGTAAAATAACATCCCTATAGCATACTACAAAATATTAAAAAAGGAACAAAAACTTAATAATCTTTATTATTAAATGCATTTTTTAATTATTCAATTTGTTACTTAAACATTTTTTTAAATGATTATTTTACTATTTAACTTCTATCTCTTAAATCCTTTACTTTAAACAAAAATAATTATGTTATTCCTAACCCTAATATTAAAATTGAATAATAATAAAATGGCTCTATTTTCGTTGAAGTAAAATATCCTATCGTGTTACCAGAAAAGCTTGATATAGAATATATCGAATAACCAATACCAAAATAATATGATTTATTCTAAGGATTAGAAATTGAATTGATATAGATTGGATATCCTACAAAAAATAAACAAGATGCCACTCCTCCTAATAAAGTTTCTATAGCAATGGCAATTGTTAATGTATTTACATTACAATAAAATAAATCAGCTTGTTAACAAGAAGATACTACAAAAGCTCCTAATAAAAATGCAAAAGCATTATAGCTTCCTAAATACAGAACAGTGCTCATAGATAATTTTTAGATGATTGCATCCATAAAAAGCAAAGCTATAGGAGATATGAAATAGTTGATAGTAAATTACATGGAATAAAGAAATGTTAGCCCTTACTGTATATAAGATTAACAATACCGAATTATAAATATTATAAGAAATGCTTTTTCCTGCATTTTAGAAAGTGTAACAAAGCATAATAATTGTTGTACAATAGAGTAATTGATAAAAGTTTTGATACTTTGGTTAGAGTTCCATTAAAATTATTTAAGGTATTCTGTAAAATTAAAATATAAGAAAAGAAAAATATATTAAAAAATAATCATAATTCTTTTTTTGATCTAAATAGCACTAAATTCCATTCAGAATTATCATCATCAATATTTTCATTATCTTTTTTATACTAGATAAATTGAGGATCATCTTTTTTAGCATATGAAATTATTTTATATTTATTTTTGATTCCTAATTTAGGGTTTTAGCAAATATTGTGATTTAATAAAGGCATGATATCAGTTTGACTATTTTAAAGATATAGAATCTTTTCTTTTGTAGGTATATCAATAGGTTTTTCATTTAATATATTTTAATGAAATGTTTCTTATTTTATTTTTTTGTGTAAATGTCTTGGGGAGAGAAAAAATTTAGTATTCAAGAGAATATCTCTTTAACTTTGATTCTTATTTTAGCTTTAATTCTATCTATATGATTGAGAATGTAATCTTTCTAATGGTTTAGATGATTGTTTTAAGATACCATGTTGAAAAAGGGTATTTTTTTAAAGATTTCGAGTGGGTCTCCTATTTTTATAGTTGAGAAAATGATTATAAGTCTAACGATCAATTTTAGAATTGCCTTCAATTTCATATATAACTTTTTTGTCTTTTTATTATGATCTGTTAGTTAAAGAATAATTTTGTATCTTTCGATTAGTGGATGGAAGTGTATGTATTTATTATTATCTAGGAGATAATTAAGTCTTTAAATCAAAGAATTTGAAATATTCATTTTGAGATCGATAATGCATAATTTTATTTTCTTTATATTTTTAATTATAATAAATAATAATATATTTAATTGATTCTTGATTTTATAGCTAAATTAAAATCAATGAATAATATGGAGATTACTAAAATAGTCTAGTTTGAATAAATTTAATCCTTGAAAATAAATATAAAAAATCAAAGTGTATTAATTAACTATAGCAATTATTCTTTCCATTATCTTTTTTCTTCATCTGAGAGTTTTGCTAAAGAGATTTCGAAAGATTCAAATTACTATTTAATTTGTACTTCATTTTCAAATTGACTGGTGTCCAAATCTTCTTGAAAAATCTGAGATTACTATCCTTATTATGAATTGAAAGTGTCTGATGATATAGATTATTCTTAGAGTTCTTTTCTTTATTCTGTTTAATCTACAATATTTCTATGGATCTTATTTAATTATAAAAGAAATACTCACTTCAAACATGAATTAATCTTGAATAGCAACAAATACATTAAGATTTTCTTCAAACTCTTGAATAAATCTCCATAATTCAGGTGAAATTTAAGTAATTTCACTTGCTTTAAGAATTGTCAAAATATTTTTAATACTTTAGTTGAGTGGTTAAACTTAGGAAATAAACTGGACAAAAATAAAGAATAAAATATACAATGTCATATGAATAAGTGTGACGAGAATTTAAAGATGAATTAATGTAACCATAATTGGATGATACATTAGTGTATTTGTTACCTAAGGAGTCTTTATCTAATAATAATAAATTAAAATAATATTATAGTACTGGAACTGCTATCTTTAAATTTTATTAATGGGGTATTATTAATAGTTTTTTACAGTTCATTGGAATTGGGGTACTAAGCAAGCACAAAAGCTTCTTTTTATGATAATTAAGACTCTAAGCTACATTTTAGATGTAATTACTTAAGATGTTTTAATCTTTTTGCAATTATCTAAGACTATCAATACTTTATTCCAATAAATCTTTATATTGTTAAACTTCTTTAACTAGTGACTAGTTACTTGATAAGAGTTTCTAGAATCAAGAAACGAATATACTTGATGTTATATTTTTAGGATGCGAATGAATTCTTGGTTCTATTAATGATTGTATTAATCATTAATGATATTGGTAGAATGTATTATCTCAACATCATCATCTTCTAACATATTAGTACTAATTTAAAATATTACACTAATAAATTTTATAAAGAAATATAAATATAATTTAACATCATAATATATTATCTAAAATAAAAATAGTCATAATGAAATAAGATTTTGAATTAAAAAAATAATATAAAAAGTTTTATTAATTAATCAATAAAAACCCCAAAGATGAATAATACATTAAATGATACTCTAATATCTTCTTTATCAAAAGATTTTTAAGGAACTGAATTTGGGGAGGGACCAAAAAGTGATTAATATAAATTAAAGTAATCTTTTTATAGTATATAGACTGGGAAAATTGGATATGATAATGACTCCAATAAGTAACTCATTAACAGAAGATTTTGAATAGATGACTTTGGATACTTCACCAAAAGAGAGTATTGTAAATCATAAATAATGTTAATATATTGACACTATCAATGAATAAGAAGATAATAAAAGCAAATTATAAGTAAATTTAAACCATATGATTAATAGAAATATCAAAGTTTCAAGATGCCTAAAGAGTAAATTAGAAGATCACCTAAACACAAAACTTGTTAACCATTACAAACTTTATCTTCTTGGGATATTGATGAATTTAATTAAAAAAGTCAAATACATTAACAATTATCAGACAATCCTTCAATGAATGCTTAGACATTAAAATTTATAAAAGAACTATGGAATTCAGACAAGAGCGAGACTGAATAATATAATGAGATGATTCAATACAAAATTTCATATCTAAATCAATCTATATATTCTCCTTTGATTGATTGTCATAATCAAATATACATTGAGATGGATTTATATATAACAAATTTAATTGTAAGATTTAAAATAATATAATCTAGGATTAATTATGGGGTAATTAGATAGTTAGTAGAAAATTACAAAAGATTCTTGAATCTGGT